AGATTTGCCCACTCCAAATTGATTCCCAACTGACCGGTAGCTGTCTGGCGTTGCAAGCTTCCACAGGGCTATCGCCACTCGCTTCTCAACTGTGAGGGCTGCTCTCATCTTGGTATTCATGCGCTTCAGGGCAGGGGAAAGCAAGTCACAAAGTTCCATGAAAGTGCCCCTACGCATGCGAAAGTTTCGCAGCCACTGGGAATCGTCCCAGACCTGCAACACTATGCGGTCCCACCAGTCTGTGCTTGTTTCCCGAGCCCAGAATCGGCGTTCCACAGCATGAACCTGCCCCATTAGCACCATGATGCATGCATTGTCAGGGCCCATGCTTTCAGAAAAATCTGTGTCCGTGTCCATGTCCTGATCACTCACGGGACCGCGCTGACGTCGCCTCCTCGCCCGGTATCGCGTTGCCATGTTCTGGTGCTGCATATACTGCTGAATAATGCGTGTGGTGGTTAATGTGCTCCTAATTGCCAAAGTGAGCTGAGCGGGCTCCATGCTTGCAGTGGTATGGCGTCTGCACAGGTAACTCAGGAAAAAAGGCGCGAAATGATTGTCTGCCCTTGCTTTCACGGGGGGGGGAGGGAGGGAACGGGGGGCTGACGATATGTACCCAGAACCACCCGCGACAATGTTTTAGCCCCATCAGGCATTGGGATCTCAACCCAGAATTCCAATGGGCAGCGGAGACTGCGGGAACTGTGGGATAGCTACCCACAGTGCAACGCTCCGGAAGTCGACGCTTGCCTCGGTACTGTGGAAGCGCTCCGCCGAGTTAATGCACTTAATGCACTTTAGAGCATTTTCTGTGGGGACACACACACTCGAATATATAAAACCGATTTCTAAAAAACCGACTTCTATAAATTCGACTTAATTTCGTAGTGTAGACATACCCTTACTAATGAACTGCCATGAGGAGTTACAAACTAGAAAATTTCTAAGCTCTTTCTGGGTGGTTGAAGACATCTCCTGAATTGCCTGCACTCTGTTAACTGGCGGGCAAATCCCCACGGGACTCAACTGCACTCCCAAATATTGTACCCCCTTTCTGCTCCATTGCCCTTTTGTCAATGAAACCTAAGCTCCAGTCTGATCCAACTGATATAACACATCTTAACTTCTCAGTTTCTTCACAGGAGAGAGTCTTAATTAGCACATCATCTACTTATATTGGGTTCCCTCTTGCATTTGCATCAGTGTGGCGGGGTGCACAAACCCCATGCTAGAGAACAATGGGTTAAGGAGCAGCTCTGGGCCCAGATGATCCCACCCAGTCACACCTGCAAAGTTTGCATAAGCGGAGGTGGGTTTAAAAGGGGAAGCAATGAAAGAGAGCAGACCTTTGCTCTGGGTAAGTACTGCTCAGGAGTTGTTGTGGCCTGAGACCTGGAAAAGCAGACCCTACAAAGGAGAGATTGTTAACTGATTGGGAAGGTCAGAGACTTTAATAGTGATTCTGTAATTTACTTTGTGGGGAGAAGGGAAACTTGGGTAGGAAGTGTTCTGGGGGGCAGCTGTGTAGCACCCTAGGGCACAGAACATAGCTGCCCATGGTACAGAGCACAGCTGCCCACCGTCAGAGTCTGGTGACAGGGTGGGCCTAGACTCGCCTACCCACTCCCAAAAGATAGGACATCATCAGAACCATGTATCTTGCCAGAGGGTCCAGCTGGGGAAGACTGTTCTAGATCCCAAAGTCCCCATACTAATGTGACAGCCCTGAAGCCCTTGGGGAAGCTGAAGCGCAGGATTATAACTGAAAAGGGGTGACCACCTGCTGCACTAATGCCTGACCCCCAGGCAGCTCTGGTATTGAGAGTTCTCCTTTTACGATCAGTCATAGACTTAGGAAGAAACATGCTGAGCTCAGTAGGAGCACTGGTATACCTAAAAGGTGGGATTGTATTCCAGGTGTATTGTTTGTTGTTACCTAGATTCATCTTCAGAGTCCCAAATCCACTTGAACAGGGATTGCCTTCCTCTCAGGAGAGCACTCTAACCACTGAGCCATGGTATACTCTGATGTAGGGCTCTCTCAGTCTCTCCTATTGAAGCTGATCCACAGTCGCTAAATACCACTGAGGCTAGGGGAGACTAAGCCTCCCTAAACCTCATGCTGCTGGGGAGGGTGCGGAGTGGGGACAGTGGTGGATTTGGGGGCCCCTTAAAAATCTACCCCTGCCATGGCTCTCCCATTGATGTAATTAATTGACCTCAGCAAGAGGTGAAAGCTAAGTCGGGGGGAGAGCATGGTATAAGTCTATGTAAATTACATCTCTCGGGATTAATTTTTTCACATCTCTGAGCGATGTAATTTACATTGACATATGCGGTAGTGTAGGCAAGCCCATATACACATACTTTTTCTGCCATAAGAGTTACTTTGCTCCTGGATCTAGGAGGGCTAGAGACATAACATCTTGCACTCTCACATTTTCTCTCTGGCCCCTTGGGAGAAAGTCTTCAAAATATACTTTACCTTTACTCAAAAATAATAGATCCACCTGAAATAAATCAGTGTCCTGACAATGATGTGACCTAGCATCTTGAACCCCTAATTGGTCCCAGTTCATCAGCCAAAGGATTTTCTTTGGTTTGACTGGAGAGGATGTAGTTTACTTCAAAGCTATACTTAAAAAATATATACATTTTAAAATATAAAATTAGTTTATATGGTTTAGTGTGGGATGCTTTCACCCTCATGTTCTACCCCGATAGACTCTTTTCCCAAGCGCACATTTAAAAACTGTGCGTTTTAAATTTCCAAACTTCCGGGTTTTATTTATTTTAGATTAATGAATCCTTTCCTGGCTGGCTTCTCTTCCTTCCGGACTAAATTGTCCCAGATTTTTTTTTAACCCCTTAACTGTGAAGGTCCTTGCTCATCTAGGTCCCTAATCTTCTATGATTCTATATTTTAGAGTTGCACTTTTGAACTTGGCCCTGGTGGATATTTGTGTACCTAACTTTCCACCACTATGGCCTAGGTTGGCAATCTCTTATACCTTTGTCATGATGATCCCTAGTATGTGGAACTCCACCTTGAAATCCATCTAATCTTCTCCCTCCCTTCTCTTAAACAACACACATTTTTCAAAGATATTCTTTATAATAACCACTGGTACCCCTGTTATTCAGAAGTTTGTCCCTTCTCCCTGTTTTCTAGGTGGGATCCCTCTTTATCTTGTTTGTTTGCAATATTGAAGGTGTTTTTATAGTGTTTTTCATTTATAAATAATTGATAAGTTATTTTACAGTGCTTTGAGGCACTTCAGCAGGTGAAAATGAGGAGAATTGTGGCTTATAAATAGGGTGACCAGGTGTCTTGTTTTTATAGGACAGACCCATATTTGGGGACTTTTTCTTATATAGGCGCCTATAACCCCGCAACCCCCTGTCCCATTTTTTCAAAGTTGCTATCTGGTCACCCTACTTACAAATGAAACAGTAATTCCAAAAATCTTGGGGGGGAGAGCATATGTGGGTAATGCTTTTATATTAATCCTGGGTGAAGAGCTGGATTTAAAGAAATAATTAGATAATGAAAGTTTTGTTCAAGTAAATAGATTATAATAATTCCTTTTTTAAAAAATCACTCCTACTGTTTTTCTCATACTCTTTGTACGTTTAAGGATTTTGTTTCACCGACTGTTGCAAGATGATTAAAATATTGTTCTGTCCTTCGTCTACTCTTGGACCTAAACACTTGTTTATCTTCACTGAACAGGAAAACAAATTACACTAATTCTCTGGATTACAGTTCTCTCAATTTCATGTAATTCCAAAATAATAAATTACTGAAATGTATTGCTCTTAGAAACCTTTATGAAAAAAACTAAGTAGCAAATTCCTAATCCATATCAGGCTCTGCTCTAATCAGCTCTGAGGTGCACAGCGCCAGAGCAGACAACCCAGACCCAGAACTTTCCTGCCCCTCCCCCAGCTGTCACACTGCTTGTAGCCTGGTGAGTCATAAAGGACATAGAATCGTAGGAGTGGAAGGGACCTTGAGAGATCATCTAGCCCAGTCCCCCGCTCTCAAGACAGGCCTAAATATTATCTAGACCAGGGGTCTCAAACACGTGGCCCGTGGGCTGCAGTTATTTCCTGCGGCCCACCAGAGCTCCCCCTCTCACCCCCCCCACCTCTGACCCCCCATGCATGCTGCGTCCCCATTCCTCTGCCTACCTCCCAGTGCTTCCCACGCTCAGGGAAGGAGGCAGAGAAGAGGCGGGTCTGGGGTGTGGATGTGGGGAAGGGGTTGGAATAGGGGTAGGGAAGGGGTGGGGCTGGGGCAGGGCCTCATGGAAGGGATGGAGTGGAGGCGGGGCCGGGGGCAGAGGGGAGGGCTTTTGGATCTTTGTATTAAAAGGTCAGGGATGCAGCCCTCAGGCCCACATACTAGTCCTCATGTGGCCCTCGTGATGATTTGAGTCTGAGATCCCTGATCTAGACCATCCTGACAAGTGATTGTCTAACATGCTCCTAAATACCTCCAATGAAGGAGATTCCACGACCTCCCCAGGCAATTTATTCCAGTGTTTAACCACCCTGACAGTTAGGAAGTTTTTCCTAATGTCCAACCTAAATCGCCCTTTCTGCAATTTAAGCCCATTGCTTCTTGTCCTAGCCTGAGAGATTAATGAGAACAATTTTCTCCCTCCTCTTTGTAATAACCTTTCATGTATTTGAAAACTGTTACCATGTCCCCCCCTTAGTCATCTCTTCTCCAGATTAAAAAAAACAATTTTTTTCCATCTTTCCTCATAGGTCATAGTTTCTAGACCTTTAATGATTTTTGTTGCTCTCCTCTGCACTTTCTCCAATTTGTCCACATCTTTCCTGAAATGTGGCACCCCTAACTGGACATAATACTCCAGTTGAGGCCTAATCAGTGGAGTAGAGCAGAAGAATTACTTCTCGTGTCTTGCTTACAACACTCCTGCGAATACATCCCAGAACTATCTATCTATATATATATATATATATATATTTTTTTTTTTTTGCAACCGTGTTACACTGTTCACTCATATTTAGCTTGTGATCCACTATGACCCCTAGATCTCTTTCCACTGTTTTCCTTCCTAGGCAGTCATTTCTCATTTTGTATCTGTGCAACTGATTGTTGCTTCCTATGTAGAGTACTTTACATTTGTTCTTTTTGAATTTCATCCTATTTACTTCAGACCATTTCTCCAGTTGGTCCAGATTTTGAATTTTAATCCTATCCTCCAAAGCACTTGCAACCTCTCCCAGTTTTGTCCAGTTTATTGTCCAATGCTCTGACAAGCTGCTTATTCTCAAACCCATCATTCTTAAGTTGTTTTTATTTAACTCTTATCCCAAGTCTTACAGCCTGAATTCTTATCTTTCAACAGCCTTCTTGTGTGTTGGGTTCCTAATACCTGACCTTTACACTTCACCTTCCTAGGGAAGATAATTCTCTACCCCCTAACACTAGTTCAGCACTTCCAGATTCAAGAGCACAGATGCTATCTAGCAAGCCACTAGATGCCTTCCCCCCGCCTTCCACTGAAGACCCTTTGGTCAGTTGTGCTTTCTGAGTGAAGGTGACAATTTTCCTTGAAGGGGTCAGCTATCATCTTTATCCTCTGTCGCACAAAATCTGGTAGCTTCTTCGAATATAACTTATTAAGATAGGGATGATCATCTGGGTTGTTATCTCCTCCAGCAGTAACACAGATACAACACCTCTCATCACAGTGTCTTGGGCATGCCATCTCTAACGTTAATTTCTGTACGGAGAAGCCCTACTGCTCTTATCACTTCTATATAATAATGAGTAATTCCTGACACTATCTCATTCTCCACTCACTTTGGGGGGAAGGGTATCAAACCAAATTCAAGGTGAACTCTATCAGCTTTTGCAATATTTCCAAAAGGCCTTAGGATTCCTAACCAGGGCAATAAGCTCTTGGATTTGTGCCCGCTTCTTACGAGGGTCACATTTGCCAATTTGCTCAGCTGACTCAAATAACTCCCTTATCTGATCCAAACCTCAGTCTTTCACGTAGCGTCAGGAGTGGTTTAAAGAGAAGCCCAATGTTCAGGTTCTGCAAAATTAGTTTCTCTTTGTCCTTCTGCAAAGCCTGAACTTTGGGTTTCTCTTTAAACCATTCCTAACACAATGCCTGACTTAACAAGACTGAACCATATGTAATGTTATCTCAGTCTGTGTTATGGCACTGGTTCTCCGTTCCTTCCCAATTCAAATAAGAGTGTTCTGTAACTTCCGAGTCCCAGCCCTCCCAGTTTGCTGGGTCAAACCCCACTACTTTCTTAGCTATATGTCAGAATACAAAAGGTGCAACCTCCGTATTATGATAACTTAGCAACCCAGACGATCACCCCTATTTTAATATCACCGTCAGCAAGTTATATAAATTTGTTGTGTGATGTTGGGGATGTGTTATCACTAGGTGGGGAGGGGATTCAAGAAAACTAACATTCTCTACTTCTTGAAGTAGACTCTCTAGCAGTACATCTACAGGCTCTCTGCTTCATGAATAAGACAGTTGGCTTCTCTCTTGAAGGACCTCACAGGTTTTCATTGTAATCTGAAGCTTGTTGACATGCACATGAAGGCAAAGGCAAAAATATAAAAAGTAGGAAACGCCTTTAAAACGCAGAACACACTTGTCTGTTTCAATTCAGGACACATCACAAACAAAACTGCAAACCACTATTTAAATACAGTTAGTCAGTCAAGCTGGGAGGCTTGTCCTTCCATTGAAATTCAAAAATAATGTAGATAATCAATAAAGCAATTTGGAGAAAATCCACAGCAGTTTCTCATTCTCTTTGTCACTAAGAAATGGGTACTTCCTGTTTGCACAATGGCAGCTCCGTGGCTAGTGCTTGTTCTGCTTTCTGCAGTACTACTTGCTCTAACAGTCTTTGGATTCCAAGGACAGACTCCAGACAAATAATTCAAAAACAATTCAGTTCCAATAAGGCTAATCAATGTACTGTCAATCAATGTACAATCAAACCCTGCTAGTGCTCCCTCACCGGAACACTCACCAGGTTGCTGTGTTTCTGTCCCACCACACTGGGCCCATGTGCTCTTAAGCTTCCCTGGGTCTGAGTAGGCTACAGCCCTGTCTCCCTCCTTGGCCCCTCTAACACACTTTCTAGGCATAGGCTTTCTGCCTGTTACTCCTTTGTGGAAATGGTATCGCAGGTCCCAGCTGTCCTAGGTCCCCAGGACCAGCACTAACCCCCAAATTCCCTAATAGCTTATCACACCCTTTCCCAGAGCTCTAATCTTGTGGGCACTAGGGGTTTACAGTTCACCTCTTCAGGGACACTTGATAGTGGCCCACATAATAGACACATAGGGTTCTTCCAAACCAGTCACTCTTTACATTAGCTAGCACAGGAAGTATATTGATTCAGATAAAAACAACAGCTGTACGCATCTCCCTGCCCCAGTCTCCTTAGCACTCTTGAATAGTCTTTGAGCTTACATCAGAATCCTCTAAGGCAGGGGTTCTCAAACTGGGGCTAGGGACCCTTCAGGGGGTCACAAGGTTCTTACATGGGGGGTCGCAAGCTGTCAGCCTCCACCCCAAGCCCCACTTTGCCTCCAGCATTTATAATGGCATTAAATATATTTAAAAAGTGTTTAATTTATAAGGAGGGGTCACACTCAGATTTTTTTATATGAAAGGGGTCACCAGTACAAAAGTTTGAGAACCACTGCTCTAAGGAGTCCAGGATCCCCACCCCTTCTGCACACAATTTCTCCTCTCAACCATGGAGTCTTTCTTTCCCGTGCAGCCAGTTTTCTTCTTTGTTGGCTGGTCCCTTTGCTATGAAATCATGCCCTCTGTTCCTCGCCTGCCCAGGCTTCCTTTGTCTCACTTTCTGATCCATCCAATCTCTGGTTTTAAAGGCTAGTATCAGTACCTTTTTTTGGGTCACGCTTTGGGGGAAATCCACTCCTCCAAACACTAGCTCTCTAGACAAGCTGGGTAGAGCTTGTTCCATCCAGATTGCAGCTACTCCACTCTTCTGTGATGGTCTAAATAACTATTCAGGTTCTTATAACTTTTACCAATCATCCTATTTAAAGCCAGATACATGTCTGTCCCTTCCCTCCTCAGCACAAGGGTTATGATGTAAGAATACTCTGAAAGACAGCCATAAGATATAAGGATACAGGCAGTTCAAATTTCAAACTGGAGAATTCATAAGCAGTACATAGAAGATTCCCCAAATCATTACAAATACATAAGTCAACTTTTCCTTCCTCTTCAGGCACCGATTCTGTGAGAACCAGACTCATTAGAAGGAACTAGACGGCTTCCAGACTGACAGGGTTGTAGCCATCCCAGACCCTAAAAGCTTCTGGTCCCATGTGGCCTACTGAAAGGAATGTGACTCATTATTGGTTTCTGGCTTATAAATGTTGTTGAAACTCTTAAACTAAAATAAATTCAAGAAAACATATCACCAGAACCAAACTATTCATAATACTAAATGTTGTTTTTACTTATCAAATTACAGTAAACAAACCCAGTTTCAAGTTAGTCTCCACAATAGATTGGAATTAATCAAATACCAAAAATAATCAGTCCTTATATAAATTCTAAGAAGCTTGCTGCCTGTGAGCTTTAAAAATCCCAATTAAACCATTTTACCAAATTAAACAAACCTATGCTTTGAATCTAGTTAAGTACCTTAACACTGAAACCAAACTACCACCTAATGTCTGGGCCACAACCTCAGAGTCAATTAGAAACTACCTACCCGGACTTCAGTTACTATGGGGTCGCTAACCCTCTCCCACTCCACCAATGCCCCCAGCAAACGTATTATAAAACAAATTTTAACAGTACACTCTTGATAAGGAGAAGTTTAACAACTCTTGTTTACCAGAAAAGACAAATGACAATCTCAAGGCTCTCAGGACTTTTACACACAGAACACTCTTTAACAAGTGTCTTGAGACAATATTTAGAGCTGTTGAAACTTTTCTTTCTGATGCCTTCCTCATGTGGCTTCCCCATGCACATGTATACACACAGCCACACTCACTTCCACATCCTGAAAATAAAGAGAAAACAGTTGGGAAATCTCCAGCTAATAAAAACAAAAGATCTAAAATAGAGAGGAAAAAATAAGACCCAGGGTCACCAACGCTTTAGCTTTCTGTCTTCTAGACTTTTGTAGAGTTGGAGCTGGAATTGCAATCAAGGAGACAGATGGCAATGATATGCTAGCACAGCCCTAAGTTCTCATGAGCAGACAACCTTCAGGTACAGGGAGAAATGGTTCTAAAGCTGGCATGGCCTGTTTGTTGTCTGTCTTGGAGATTCTGATAAGTCTGCCTCCCCTCTAATGGCTTGTAGACCTGTAAGGGAAGGCTTCTCAAGGCCTTGATTCTTAAAGTTTATGAATTTTGCTCACTCCACTTCTCAGTGACTCCCTCTGAGATCTGCAGACAAATCAGGTGTGAGGCTCACTTTGGAGTTTGGAGCAATGCAACTTAGTTCAATCAAGTTTGAATAGGTCCTTGTTAGTGAGCACCAACTTGGAAAAAGTCCCAGGTAAGCAGGCAATTTAAAAAGTATTCAGTGTTTTACATATCAGTGAATGGTGGTCTAGATAATAAAAAAAAAATCAAGACACCTAAGACTACTTTTGAGTAAGCTAGCATAGTTTTATCTGGGTTATGGAAAGTTAAATATAACCCCCTATAAAAATAGCTAATGGGGGAAAAAACCTAGTATACCAACAAAACAAAATCAGGCCTTCAGCAAACTAAAAATAAATTCAGACTTATAATTTTTGTCATTGTCACTTTTTCCTCTGCTAATCTAAACCCAGACTAATCTTCTTCTTGGAAACAAGGTAATCATAGTAGTCTTTCTATTTTTGAACTGGTCTATTGGTCTAACAGCTTATCTTCTAAAATCCAAAATTTAGTAGAGAAAAGTTACTTTAAAGTTCATCAAGATTAAACCCATTTACCATATAAAATTTTAAATAAGGTGTGTGTATATACCCACACAAGGATAACTTACTTAGCATACTATAAGAAAGATAGGGTATAAAACAAAACCTTAATTAAGCAACTGCTTTAGCTGATCTGTTTTAGGGCTTTTTAATTTCAATTGTTTGGGACACAAGATTCAAATTAGTTTGATAGGGTTTATTAAATATCCTTAATGGCAAATAACAGTATAGAATATAAAAAGGCAAAAACTATATTGGACTAAGATTTGGCTACATGAATTAAAAAGTTGGTTGATAGGAACATTTGGTTTTCAGAATCTAATTATATAATAAAATAAAATAACACTCAATAATTACCTTGAAGGTAATTTTGTTTAGATTTTTGACCGAGTTCCTCAGAATAGGGCCTTACTTGTGTCAGTTGGTTCAGTTCTGGTGTTGCTAACACAACAGATGGAAAAACAATTCAAAGATAGATCACAAAACGATTTTGGTCAATTATTTACATGCCAATTCACTAAGGTCTCCTACCCAATAGATGTATAATAGTCAACCCTTTTAATCTATTTGCCTGTGAAAGATATGGCCCCAGGATCTGACTGACACTCCTAACTATCTAACATGAACTCTTACAGTTATGACAGACTGAGTGCAGTTCAAAACGCTTGTACACTTGGTCTCATTTTATGTCTATATCATCTAGAACTTGAAAGGTAGTAAGAAACCATAAACAATGGTAGACACAAGTACAGCGTTCTACAATCTTAGTTAACAATGGTAACTTGTTCAGTTTTAAAGCTACCTTAAAACAATCTTGATTGGAATCAGTTACAAAAAAAAAAGACACTTCTGTGACCATCTTTAAATATGTACACAAGCATCGACACTTCCCTACTAATTAAGTACCCAGTTTCAGGAAGTGGTCAATTGACTGATTTGTGTTATCACCCAAGGGAAAGTCTGTGTGTTACTTATCACCAGATCTTTGCTCAGCCACCAGCGTTCAGCTCAGTTATTGGTCACAAATGGAGTAAAGGACAGAGAAGTCTTTTCTCAGTGCACTAGCAGGCAACCCAGTACTAGAAAACAGAAAGGCAGTTAAAGTTGCGTACTTGAGATGGGTACTTGATGTCACCAGGAGGACTCCCAGGTGGATGGTCAAGGACCTCCGTCTTCTCCTTTCCAAGTGTCTCTGACTTTTGGGAAGCAATGTGCTGAAGGTCACAGGCTGTTTTATCCTGTTTCTGCTGGATGATCCAACTTGGTTCCTCTTCTTGGATGTCCTAGCAGGGACCAATCAGATGGTGACTGTGGCTCACCCCTGCAGCGCCTCCTCCTGGTAGTCCAGGGAATTAGTGTTTCCAGCCTCCAGAGTGCCCTCTGCAGGCCAGTGTCCCGCTTGCCACTGGGCCCCAAGTCCCTCCCGGACCCCGGTGCCCCTTTCACACTGGGCTGCTGCCCCCTGGCAGTACCCCCACAGATCTGGGTCTCCCCACCTGGGTAACCCCCACCCTCTATCCCCACCTCGCCTCAGTCTTTGGCTACTGCCAGTCACCATCTAGCCCCCGCTCCCTGGGGCGGACTCATCATTAACTGCCACTCATCATCCTCAAGGAGGGTCTGGACCTGCTGCTTCTGCCTACCCTTGGGCTGCCCTCTGCAACCCCAGTACCCTTTTCCTAGTCCTTCATCAAGGCCTGCAGCCTGGGGCTTTCTCAGGCCAGAGCTCCCCAGCTCCTCTGGCCTTTCCCCAGCCCCTCTGGCCTTTCCCCAGCCCTGCTCTACTTTAGGTACCCTGCTCAGCTCCCAGCAGTCAGACCCCTCCCTCTCAACATCTAGAGCAGTGGTTCCCAAACTTGTTCCACTGCTTGTGTAGGGACAGCCCCTGGCAGGCCGGCTCAGTTTGTTTACCTGCCGCGTCCGCAGGTTCGGCCGATCGCGGCTCCCAGTGGCCGCGGTTTGCTGCTCCAGGCCAATGGGGACTGCGGGAAGTGGTGCAGGCTGAGGGATGTACTGGCTGCCACTTCCAGCAGCTCCCATTGGCCTGGAGCAGCAAACCATGGCCACTGGGATCTGCGATCGGCCGAACCTGTGGACGCGGCAGGTAAACAAACCGGCCCATCAGGGGCTTTCCCCGCACAAGTGGCGGAACAAGTTTGGGAACCACTGCTCTAAAGAGAGACTGTCCTCCTGGCCCACTGCCCTCTTATAAATGCCAGCTGGACCCTGATTGGGGTGTGGCTGCAGCTGTTTCTCCCAATCAGCCGAGGCTTGCTGCTTTTCCTAGGAGCAACCCTCTCCCAGGGCTGATTTCAAGCCCTTCAGGGCAGGAGCGGGTGACCACCCCGCTACAGTGACCCGTGCTTCTTCCAAAGATTTGAAATGTCTATCCAAAATGAAAATAGTCCTCTCTCACCATCCCAACAGAAAACAAGATATCAGCTTTTGTATTCTTGCAACTGGGACTGAAATTTTCCAGTCTCTTTATGTAACACACCAGCCTGTGTAGGACCAGTTAGGCCATAACTGTTGGTACAACCATCTTGGGACATACCTTGAACACAGGCTGGTTTGCTCTGGTCAGCAATTTACCTCTGAAAATCACTTTCTGTGGGCTCTGTGCTGGCTCATGTTGCAGTGTCTCCATCAACCCTGCTAGCTGTCAAAATGTCCAGTTTAAAATTCCTATAATTGATAGAAAGTCCCTCCAAATTCTTTGATGCTCTTTAAACTTGTTTTAACAGTCCATTATATAATGCAAAGTCACTTCAAGAACTGTTCTGCAGCAAGCCCAAACAGCTATATAAATCTTCCATTTGTGTTCTCCTTGTTTTAACAATAATGGTAAGACCTTGGTATGTACAGCTGAGCTGAGTCCAGGCATTATTAACCAGTTACATTTCTGTTTATTCCACTCTGTGGTCAAGTGTCTTTATAAATACAGTATTTGGTTTCAGTTTTTTATTTACTGCCTCTTTCAACACAGACAAATTTACTAAATTGATAGCATAAGCATGCTTGATTGAAAACATTAGCCATACTACTTCACTTTATCAAAAATAAAGTCTTCTTTACCACCCCCTCACCAGGACTGCCCAAGAGGTAAACCCTGTCATTAAAGTTCACAATATATTGTCCAAAGCTGTATCACTTATAGCTGACTTCCCTTTTATACAAATTTTAATTAATATTGATTCCCATTTTAATAAGCATCTGGCACATCTAATAGCAACGTTAGATATTAATGTAATATGATTTTTAATTCCTTCATTCAAAGAGATTAAAGACAGGAAGTCTCTTTAGAAGCATCAGCAGTACACTCTTGCAAAAGACTGCAATAAACTCTGAGTTTTCTCAGACTTATTGAAGGAATCTGGTTGTTAGACCTTAGTTTTTTATTCTCTCAGTGCTCTGTTCTATATTTTCCAAAAGGCCTTGATACCTGTCAATTCTTAAAACAGTCATAACCCATAATTTTGAGGCCTTAGTTACTACAATGCATTGTGGCAATAATTAAGGCCCTGATCCTGCAAGCTGATCCATGCGAGCAGAGGCCCATCAAAAGTCAGTGTAGTTCCACCCAGGTGCAGATGCAGCTTGCAGATCAGTCTGCAGCATTGGGGATCTGCATTAGTAATTACATTGAAATATTAAATTAAATAATAAATGTTAAAATCCTCACTTATTGCAGCTTTGTAATTAGTAGAGATAGATTTATAGGAGATATGTGACAGGCTTAACCAGCATAAATGGAGAGCTGTCTCTACAAGATTTCACCTGAAAAAGCAAGGGAGGTTTTACATAATGTTTTTTAAATGTATTAATATGCCAAAGTATCTCATTGTTATTCTGATGTGTTCTCATAGCTGTGCAGAGAGGCATTGATTTTTAGCTGTGAAATGCAAATTTGGCTCACACTGCTCTGGTTGTTTTTTATAGATATTAAAATACTTGTGCAATGATATGCCTGACATTTTTGAACTGGGTCTTTAGATTTTAGTAATATTGATGTCTTATTGCTGCTACATACAATGTATGTAATCTTTCAAAGGCTTAGTGGACTAATCCTGCAAGGTACTGAGCACCCTCAACTCCCTGTCTTTTGTTTTTGTGAGAGTTAAAGGTTCTCAGCAACTCACAGGAAGGACTGAGCACACGTCTTGCATCCTGGATAGAACATATCTTGCAGGCCTGGGTACAATTTTAGCCTAATATATTTATTTTATTAATATTCTAAACAGAACTTTGTGATCATATGACCACACAGCCTTGTCACTAATAAAAACAAGATGTGCCAAGAAAATAAAGGCAGCATTTACTTGGTGGCTGCCTGAAGGAATATATATTTATATGTAGGGAGGTTTGAAATACACCTCTACCGTGATATAATCCGACCGATATATAACACTAATTCGGATATAACACGGTAAAGCAGCGCTCAGGGGGGGCAGGGCTGTGAACTCCGGTGGATCAAAGCAAGTTCAATATAACATGGTTTCACGGTTTAACGCAGTAAGATTTTTTGGCTCCTGAGGACAGCATTATATTGGGGTAGAGGTGTATGTCACATTTTAAATAACCTACACTAATTTAATTTAGACTTAAGAACAAAGGTTTATTGTTATGGACCCTTGACCAAATCTCAGTGTGCTTTGCAAAAGACTACTTCTTTTTGGTGGCCACATCAAACACAGAAGACAGTTCACTGTTTACAGCTTGGTGGTCAGAATAAAATGGAAGTGTTAAATGCCAGGCGGCTGTACTTGAATCAGGGTGGTTGCTTCCATTTTCTGGGAGTCGATTGGCTGGTCTTGGGATAGAAAGTACAAGGAACAGGTAGCACGGGAAGGAAGAAAGACTGTCAGATCTGCCAGAAGAGGTACAGGCAGATCCAGGTATATGCCAATACAGAGAAGCCTGGCCTCACTTACACCTACAGCAAGGGCTTCTGGTTAGCCACTCAAAGGCCATAGAGAACATGGGCCGTTACTCTCACCTAGTGGTCCCAAGAGGATTGGTGCCTGAGATTCTGAAGGCGCTATATAGCAACAAGACTGTGGGACTTTTGGGGATAGAGAAGCTTATGCAAAGGGTTCAACATCAGCCTGGATGGGGTAGATCTGTTAAGGACTGGGTAAAGTCTTGCTATACCTGAGGGGCCCATAAGACAGCACATACTACACTCAGAGCACCCATGGCATGGTTGGAGAGGGTAGCTATGGATATTCTGGAACCTCTACCTCTCACTGAGAGGCAGTCACAGTCACTACTTCTTTGTGGGAGCCTATGACCACAATGAGAAGTAATCTGCTCAATCACTGCCTGACCACAAGGCATAGACTGTTGCTAAGGTATTACTTGAGCAGGTGTTAAGCAGATATACAAGGGGAGTGAGCTAGTTTGGGTCAGGGATCTCAGAAAGAAGAGGAGTTTGAGTGCCAAGTTACAACAGAAGTACAAGGGACTGTACAGGGTGGTCAAACGGGTATCTTAGGTACTCTATGAATTACCTCCTATCATGGAGATACACAACAACAGGCTAGAACCAAACCTGGGTCCTGACCCAGCTGAAGCAGGAACTGGGCAAGGATTAAGAAAACTCCAGTCAGTGAAGAAGTGGAGTCCCAGGGCAGCAAATAGGACATGGCCAGGGCAAGTACTGGCATATGTCCCACAGAGCAAGGTGTGGCCTTAACAGAGGGAACCAAGTCAGGCCACGAGACAGAATTGCGTGTGGTCACCCCAACAACAGAACCTTTCCCATTTACCTATGGATTACAGGCAAACACACATGATAAAACAAACACTCAAAGAACTGCACATTTCTGGACTGCATACAACCCCCCAGGTGTATTTCAGTCATTGCACTACACTTCACCCTCCCCATGGTAGTTTTACTGTTTACAAGTGACTCATTATGCTGTGGCATGGCTGCTTTGTATAGTGTGATGAACTAAAAGAAATAACAACCTTATACTGCCTTCCAACACCCCAGCACATCTTTGTAAGAATGTGCAAGCACCAAGTAAAAAAGTAATTTTAAATACTTAACTGCTATTTTTGCTTCCCGCTCTCCATTTTGACCTCTTCCACCCTCCTCCCACCCGCCAGGAGCAGCCCACTGTAGAACTGTCAGCAAAACCAGAAGAGGCAGAAGTAGCCCCAGAGCCTGGTAAGTTTGTTTCATGTTTCTTATTCATATAGGAGTGGAACAGATATCTGACTTATGACTCAATGCAAAATTTATTACAAGCTGCAGGTAGCAACATATATCTACCAATGG